TGGATCACTTGTTTATTTTAGAGCTAGAAAATTGTTTACTAGACAAAAAAAATCTTAATTTTAAAATAATTTAGAAATACCTTTGGTGTAAATAGAGTACCAGACATTCCTTTCTAATTTTGTAACTCTATGGTTCCCATGTAAGATACTATGTGAGATAAAGATATGAGCCACCTTTGCTTTTTAAGGTACTGATATGCTTTTAATGCTTTCTTTAAAAAACAACAACAGACTAAGAAGCCGGTCTGTTATACTGTCTAGCATTTATGTAGCATTTTAAGGTTCACAAAGCATTTTGCAAATATCTCATTTTATCCTCACAACAACCCTAGAAAGTAGGTGCTATTATTATGGTCCCCATTTTACAGATGAGAAAACTGAGGCAGGCAGAGATTAAGTGACTTGCCCAGGGTCACACAGCTAGTAAGTGTCAAGTGTTTGGTCTGAGGTTGGATTTGAACTCAGGTCCTCCTGACTCCAGGGCCGGTTCTCTATCCACTATGGCCACCTAGCTGTCCCCACGTTACCATTTCTAATTTTTGTTTGTTTGTTTTTGGCTAGGCATTGGAGTTAAGTGACTTGCTCAGGGTCACACAGGACCATTTCTAATTTTTAAGAAATGTAAGATGCTTGAGGGCTGAGATTGTTTCATTTTTTGTCTTTGTCTCAAATGATTTTTCATTTGTTCAAGAAAGTAGAGTGTCACTGTCATCAGTGATCAATACCAGCCAGTCACTACTATGTGCCAGGCACCGTGTTAATCACTTGGCATCCAAATAGAAAAAGGGGGACAATCTCTGCCCTCAAGAAATTCACACTTTAATTAGGGGAGACAGCGCATGAAAGAATTCAGTGGCAGCACCAATGGAAAAGCCCAGAAATCCTGTGGGTGTGGTGGAACATCAGATGCTAAGACCTAGGGGTTCTTAGACGAGGCCAGTAGGTCAGTCGTCAGTGTTCGAGGGTGTAAATTTAGGGCAGATGATAAGGCTGAGAGGACCTTAGGACACAGTGACGGAGCAGCTGGCAAAGGCTGGTGGTCCTTCATCTCACTGGAGTGATTCGAGTTGGTGAATTCCATCTCATCCAAGCCTTGTGAGCAATCAGGCAGCTGGGATGGGTTCTAGGCAGCCCCAGATGGAGAAAGGGGTGAGGGAGAAAAAAGAGGGGGAAGAACTCCCCCCTCCCCAGCGCTGGCAGATCTCCCCGGTCATCTCCCTTCTACCTTCTCTGCTATCTTACTAACGTTCACGCTAATTTCACCATCAGCAGTGGGAACAGATGAAATATTCTACTAAGAATGTTAGGAAATTAACACTCTATAGTGGAAAGAGCTCTGTAATTGAAGCCAGAAGACCTAGTATACATGGGTCCAAGTTCTGATTTTCCTTCCGGCTCTCACTGTCATCTTAGTTTTTAATCTCCTTGAACCTCAGTTTCCTCATCCACAAAACAGGAGTAATAAAAATAACTGCCCTGTATATTCCATAGGGTTGTTGTGATAGTATATGTATAAAGCACTCTATAAATCAGAGATGTTTTGGAAAAGGGAAGGAAGGCAGGAAATGGGATTACTGAGTATTCCTGGCAGGACTATTTCTGCAATGCCCTTCTTCCATCTCTAAGCTCCAACTTCCCAGGAAGACAAACCAGTGTGGTTTCCCAACTCCCGTTGGGGAAAAAAAAAGAAAGGTCAAATACAAGAATAAAAATAATCATTTGGGGACATTCTGGACCTGAGATTTCATGGATATAGAGAGCTCAACATGAAGAATCTCCCTCCTCTTGTACACCCCTATACAGCAGATCCACAACCGTTTTGAACCTTACAGTGAATGCATGGCCTGGGACAGTGGGAAATTAAGTGACTTACCCAGGGTCCCACAGTCAGATATGGTGAACTAAGTCCAGGTCTCTCTGACTCTCCCTAAGTCAGGGTGCATCTTAATAACAATAGCCACAGTGACAAATCATACCGATAATATAATCTCTTCAGCCTCCAGCAGTATGGACAAAGTTTCAGCTCCATTATCTCATTGGATCCTTGCAACTCGGTGAGGTTGGTTGCAAAAATATCATTATCTCCATTTTATTGATGAAGAAACTGAGACTCAGAAGGAACTTGCCTAAAGAGCACAGGCAGTAAATGGAAAATATCTATCCTTTTTTTTTTAAAGCCTTTGAAATAAAATCAGATGATTAAGAAACTCCCAATTGTTCTCACAAGTTGAAAGGCTTGAATTGTTGGCAGTTGGGCTGTTGTGTGCAAGTACAAGTGTGTGTATGTGTTTCATTCCAACACACACACCCTCCACTTTATATTTAAGGAAATTAGCTTTCATTGTACAAAAAATCCACAAACATCTCATTAGAACACTTATATACTAATGAGGGATAATCAGTGTGCTTTCAAAGCCTGACTAGAGCGGAGATAAACACTATTTATTTAACCAAGAACCATAGCGAGCCTGCAGCATGATGTTAGCCTTCCTGATCCTTGCAAATCACCCATTTTATGCAAACCTACATTTGAGCCACACTGTAGAGGATCATGGCTCTAGGCTCTGAGCTTGTCTGGAAATCCATCTTTTGTTGTTCAGTTGTTTCAGTCTAACTCTTTGACCCCATTTGGGGTTTTCTTGGCAAAGATACTGGAGTGATTTACCATTTCCTTCTCCAGCTCATTTAACAGATGAAGAAACTGAGGCAAACAGAGCTGAGTCACTTGCCCAGGGCCACATAGCTAGCAAATGTCTGAAGTCAAATTTGAACTCGAGAACATGAGTCTTTCTGATTCTAAGCCCAGTGCTCTATCCATTGTGCTGCCCTTAGGGACCTACCCTAGTCCCATTAAATAAGCAGGATCCTTTGTCTCCATTAAACCTCAGGCCTGGGAGGAACACAAGGCCAGACTGACTGTATTCATGCCTTGACTATATCATTCAAGTAGGAGCAGCTAAGTGACCTAGTGGATAGAGTGCTGGGCATGAAATCAGGAAGACCTGAGTTCATAATCCATCCTCAGATACTACTAGCTATGTGACTCCTAGGCAAGTCACCTAAATTTCTGTTTGCCTCCGTTTCCTCAACTGTAAAATGAGGATAATAACAGCACCTACCACCCAGGGTTATTGTGAGGATCAAATAAGACAAATATTTGTAAAGCACTTAGCAAAGTACCTGGCACATAGTAAATGCTACATAAATATTAGCTATTATTATTCATTCAGCAACATGTATTAAATGTCTCTCTGCATCAGAGCCAGAGGTGTCAAACACCTAACCAAATTAAAATGTAACTGGGAAATATTTAACAAAAATAAGTAAAAATACAATAGAAGATAGATGTTAATATGTAGTTTTCTAAGTCAATATGAGCCCACCGGGATCCTTAAATATGGTTTAAGAGTGGCCCCAGTTTCCATTTGAATTTGACACCACCACACTGAACCAGGGGCTGAATTTAGTTGCCAAGAATGGGACCCATCACAACCCAAACCCAGCTGCAACTGGAGCAACATAGAGAACACAGTCAGCAGCTTCACCAACTTTGAGAATGAGGTGAATTAATCATGTGAGTTGAGGAAGTTGCTCATCTCTGGCTGATAACTAGATTAGGGTGAGAAAGACACTCAGGGTCTTTGGAAGAAGAAACATTTCCATGTTCTTGGCTGAGATCTCTGGGAGACATCCCACCTCCCGTATATATTCAGTGTGTTTACTGGGACTCACAACTTTCTTCATTGAGGAAAATGGATGCTTTGGATGGAGGGCAAGGGTGGTTGGGGAGGGGCTGCCTGGTGCAGACCTGTCTAAGAGATAGGACTCTATCCTAGGCGGGTGGCATTCTACCTCCCATCACAGGGACAGCTGAAATCAGGCATAGGGAGAGAGCAAGTCATACCTGGAGAAATTTCCCAAGTTGGACATTTTGTTTCAGAGAGCAGGGCATAGTGGATAAAGCACTAAACTAGAGGTCAGGAAATCTGGGGTCAGATCTAGTTTTCCGATATTCCCTACCTGTTTGACCACAGGCAAGTCACTCAACCTCTTACAGCCTCAGTTTCTACATTTGTAAATCATAGATTTAGCAGTGGAAGGGACCTTAGAGGTCATTTAGTCCAATCTCCGTATTTTACAAATGAGTAAACCGAGGTCCCTGGATGACTAGGTGGCGTGATGGATAGAGTGCTGAGCCTGGAATCAGGAAGACCTGAGTTCAAATCTGGCCTCAGACACTTCCTAACTGTGTGACCCAGAGCAAGTCCCTTAATTCTGTTTGCCTCAGTTTCCTCATCTGTAAAAATGAGCCGGAGAAGGAAATGGCCAACCACTCCGATATCTTTGTCAAGAAAAATCCAAAATGGGGTCATGGAGAGTTGGACACAACTGAAATGACTAAACAACAAACTGAAATTTGGAAAAGTGACTTGCCCCAGGTTGCAAAGCTAATAAGTGTGGGAGTCTAAGTTTTCTCTTACCTGCTTCCCAGTGGTATAGCAAGGAAAGTGCTCTGCAAACCTTAAAGTGCTATAGGAATAAGCTAATCATTATTATTCCAAGCCTTACTTGACTTTAGCTTGGGGCTTGTTACTTATAAATTACATGAATGGTTATTATGGGATCAGAGCATTTAATATGATTTACCCCAAAATGCTGTGATGTAGGTGTATATACCAAAGATGCATGCCTAGCACAGTTAGCGTAGTAGATGCTTAATAAATATCTGAAGATTTGATTTAAAGAACTCAAGAGAATGTCAGTTTTTACTCTGGACTTGAAGGTGATTTAGAATTCGGGTTCCAGGGTGTAATTCCAATGCTCTGTAACTCTACTGACCTTGTTTGCAAGGGGAGAGTTAAGTGGTATCATAAATGGCCCTGGCAAGAAGAAATTAAGGTCAACGGGAAGCAAGTATTACTCTCTATAAATCAGTGCTGAGCTCATCCACCTGAGACCTGAAGGTGAAGAGTTTTCAAGTAACTTTTCTTTCTTTTTAGAGGAAGCCATCAACAATGCAGAACGAATCACGGATGACCAAAGACCAAGATGTGTGTTTCAACATGGGCATGAAGAGAGCTCCGCCTTTCCCCCATTGCCTACAGTTGGGAACCCCAAGGATGAAATCTCACCAGAGGCCACCCTTTACAGAAGAGTTCAGGGGGCCCTTTGCCCAGTTTCGGTACGAACCTCCTTCGGGAGACCTAGATGGATTCCCAGGAATCTTAGAAGGGGGTGGGTCTCGGAAGCGGAAGAGCATGCCCACCAAAATGCCCTATAACCACCCTCCGGCTGATGCCACAACTTCCCACCAACCTGATAAGGACAAAAGCCACTGCTCTCCTGGCCTACCTTTGCTCTTCCAGCAGCCCCCAGCCCCCAAGTACGACGCCCAGATGATCGACCTCTGTAACATTGGCTTCCAGTTCTACCGCACCCTAGAACACTTGGGGGCCAAACCCATCAAGCAAGAGCCCATCAAACCCAGCGCTGTGTGGTCCCACCCTCCTCCCCCACCATTCCTGCCTACACCTTACCCCTACTACCCCAAAGTCCACCCGGGCCTGGTGTTCCCTTTCTTCATGCCGCCCCCTGGCTTCCCCTACAGCCGGCATTCCTTCCAGCCCAAACGTCCAACCCAGCCACCGGTTCCCCAGAAAACTGAGAGGCAGGACAGCGAGGAGAGCAAGCAGAAGGTGGAGAGGGTGGACGTCAACATCCAGATCGACGACAGCTACTACGTGGACGTGGGCGGGGAACAGAAGCGCTGGCAGTGCCCTATGTGTGAGAAGTCCTACACCTCCAAGTACAACCTGGTCACTCACATCCTGGGCCACAGCGGGATCAAACCCCACGCGTGCACCCGCTGCGGGAAGCTCTTCAAGCAGCTCAGCCACCTGCATACCCACATGCTGACCCACCAGGGCACCCGGCCCCACAAGTGCCAGGTGTGCCACAAGGCCTTCACGCAGACCAGCCACCTCAAACGGCACATGATGCAGCACAGCGCCGTGAAGCCTTACAACTGCAGGATCTGCGGCCGGGGCTTTGCCTACCCCAGCGAGCTCAAGGCCCACGAGTCCAAGCACGAGAGTGGGAGGGAGAATATCTGCGTGGAGTGTGGCCTGGAATTCCCCACCCTGGCGCAGCTGAAGCGGCACCTCACCACTCACCGGGGCCCCATCCAGTACAACTGCACCGAGTGCGACAAGACCTTCCAGTACCCCAGCCAGCTCCAGAACCACATGATGAAACACCAGGACATCCGGCCCTACATCTGCTCCGAGTGCGGCATGGAGTTTGTGCAGCCCCATCACCTCAAGCAGCATTCCCTCACCCATAAGGTAAGCAGCACAGCAGGGAGCTGGAGAAGGCTTGAGCAAAGAAAAAAAAAAAAAAGCCCTCCCCCAAAAAGTGGTTTTTTCATTGAACAAAAATTTGTTTTCTCCTCCTCCCATTTCACCTTATTTTTAACAAGTAAAACAAAAATATGCATAGTTGTATAAAACAAATTCCTTTTTAGTCCAGGTCCAAAAAAACTGAGTTGTTTTTTTTCTGCACCTGGACTCCTGCCCCTCTCTCTCAAGAGGTGGGTGACATGCTTCAACATTGTGCAAAGACTAGTCCAGCCTTGGCCTGGTAGCCAAGTCCAGATTTTTTTTTAATTTTAAATTTTGGGAACTTGAGATAAGGGCAGAGGAGTGACTAACCGCCGTTCTCTTTCTTCCTTTGTTGTTGTTCAGTTGTGTCTGGTTTTTTGTGACCCTATTTGGGGTTTTCTTATCAAAGAAACTGTAGTGGTTTGCCATTCCTTCTCCAGCTCATTTTACAGGGAGGAAACTGAGGCAAACAGGGTTCAGTGACTTACCCAGGGTCACACAGCTAGTAACTTCCTGAGGTCAAATTTGAACTCACGTCTTCCTGAATTTAGGCTCTATCCGCTGCACCATTTAGCTTCCCAGTTTCTTCCTTACCTATGACATAGTCATTTCTGTAAGTATCACCTGTCCATAAAAGTTAGGAAAGGTATAGGATCACAGATATAGAGCTTACAGAACCTCAGAAGCCATCTAGTTCACAGAAACTCGACATTTGTTCATTCTTTTATTTTTGAGACTGGTTCTCCCCATCTTGCTCAGACTGGAAATGGAGCAGGCCCTCTTGGGCCGGATCCCACCCCAGATCAAAGTGAGAGTTTGGATCTGCTCCATTTCAGAGCTAGGCTGGTCCACTCTCCTCAGGCAGCCAACCGCCCCCTCCTGTGGAGGACCAAACATATCAGTTGCAAACTTAGTATAGACAAGCAAATAGCTCCTGCAGCTCAGAACTCCCGAGCTCCGGCTATCTACCGGCCTCGATCTCCCACCTTCTTGTGTTCATTTACAAATGAGAAAATTGAGGCCCACTGAGGTAAGTGATTTGCCAACAGTCCCCAGGTAGGCGCTATGATGGAAGATGGTCTTCAGAGCTGCAATTGATCTTTCACTTCAATTAGTCCAACCCATCCATTTTACAGATGAGTAAAGAAAGTCCCAGAGAGGTAAATAACATGCCCGAGGTCATAGAACTGGCAAGTGGCCAGTCTGAGACTAGAACCTACCTCTCCTGACTCCTAGTCTCCTGGGCTGAAGCCCTCTGGTCCCGATCCACCTCCATGGCTGGCTGTTTCTGGTGGAAAGGGCAAGAATACCAAACAAGAGCCTTGGTCTTGGTAATTCCTTGTTGCTAGTTCCCCCGCATAAGCTCTCATTTCTCTCTGCAGTGAAGTAGATTGCCTCCCCCTCCCCACTTTTGCAGGAGGCTTACAGGAGGAGAAGCCTGAGTTGTCCCAGCTCAGTGCTGTGTTCAATATGAATTCAACTCCCCCAGGTCACCTCAGTATGTAGAATGATTGAGAACCTTTTTACTCAGTCTCTTGGTTTGGTTTTATCTTTCTTTCCCTCAAACTCAGTCCAAAGCTACAGCAAACCCAGGCACTAAAATGATTACCTCCATGGTTGAGTTTGGCCCAAAACTCTGAATCTATTTGGGTTGAACTAAACCGAGTGGCCGGCCTGAAACCTAACCTGAATTGAGGTGGCATTGGTCTGTTTTGATCTCTGGGGAGGGGAGCCTAGCCTCCTCCCACCCCTTTGACCTCAGCTGGCTTTTTTGATGGCACGCTTGTCTCCTAAACCCGAGTTTCAAAAACATCCTTTAATACTAAAGGGTCAAGGGAGGCACTTGCCTGACCAAGATAAAATTTCTGCCCTGCTAGAATGGGCTGCATTTGAAAGGCTTGCACCAAATCTAGCTCCCTTTCTGGGTCCTCTAGGAGTGGCCGCTTTGTGAGTTTTGCATAAACAGTTTCTGCCCTATATTAACAAAAGGCACCTGTGGATATCATCCAGGGAGACAGGGCCTTGCCAAATCCAGGAACTTGAGACAAAGGACCTAAATTAAGACTGAGAGACAGAATAGCTCATTTCAGGAGATCTAAAACTGCTTGGAAAGGAGTTGATGGGGAGTTTCTAATATTCTTTTAAAAAGGGGTTCAAGATAATCTGGGAGCAGGGGAAGAGGGGAACGAAAGGATAAATAGAACAAATGGTGCCATATACCCATAGTAAAATCTCATTCGATTTAGGAATCAAAATTCATTTTAACAATTATTTTTCTGTGCACCTGCCTCAAGTGCCCCCAGATTGCTCTCTGGCCCCTGGCAGTCTCCAAAGGCTTCCAACTCCAGCAATCATTCTGGGCCTATAGCGCACACAGCATCTCCTTTATTTCCTAGAGCTTATTTCAGAACTGTGTATAGTGGAGTAGGAAGGTTCACGTGTGATTTTCATTTCAGAAACAAATTAATTTTTTAATTCTTAAAAAAAAAAACCCCAGTGATATATACCTCTAAAAAAGGGCATTTCGTCCTTCCCGGTGCCAGAATGATCGAGTGGGACCCTAGAGCTCATAGTGGCATGCCTGGGACCTGTGACACTGTTCATAGTATCTCACTCTGCCTTACGGAAAGAGCCCTGAACTGAGTTTCTGATCAAGCCTTAATATTCAACGCATGTTAAGTTCCTTAGGCAGAAAGGAGTCCATTTACCAAAGGGGCAGCTCAGATTATCATAGGATTTAGAGCTAGAAGAGATGGTGGCTACAAATCTAGCCCAACCTTCTCATTTTACAGATGAGGAAACAAGTCCAGGGAGGGGAAAGTGATTTGTCCAGGGTCACATGGGTAGATCAAAGATAAGCCAAGCCTGGGTTGAGAACCAAGGTTTTTTGGACCCTAACTTGCAATTCTCTTTCTACTCTGCCATTCTCAGCAAATGTGGGAAGCTTTAAATCTTGCTTCAGACACCAGGTGGGTGACCCTGGGCAAGTCACTTACACCTACCTCTCTTAGCCTCAGTTTTCTTATCTATAAAATGAGTATAATAATAACGCCTACTCCACAGTGTTGTTGTGGGGTTCATATGTAATCTCAGGTATAAAATGCCTTGCAAACTTAAAGGATTATGTAAACATGAGGTGTTGTAATTTTAGGATGTAACTGCAGAGAAAATCCTGAAAGAAGTTGTTGGTTTGTTTTTTTCCATCTGTAAAATAAGGGGATTGGCCACATGATCTTTAGGGTCCCTTTCAGCTTTTACCTCCTTATAAATTGAAGTTTAAAAAAACACTTTAGAATGCTTTCAGTGAATTAAAAACAGAAGTGTGCTGGTAAATGAGAGAGAGAGAGAGATCAGGCTGAAATTAGACAATTAGAAATTGTTAATGTATATGGAGAAGAAATATATATAAATTGGTGGCACAGTGGATAGAGCACTGGTCCTAGAGTCAAGAAGACTCATCTTCCCGAGTTCAAATCTGGCCTCAGACGCTTACTAGCTGTATGACCCTGGGCAAGTCACTGAACCCCATTGCCTCACCAAAAAACCAAACAAACAAAAAACCCAAATGAAGTTACAGAGAGTTAGACATGACTGGAAATGAGTGAACAGTAACAAAATACATGTATAGATATATCTATATGTCTATCTATATACACCCTAGACAGACTTTTAAGTTTAATCTGCATTATTAACATTTTCTTCTTCACTATCTTAAGCCTAAACAATCAAGAAAACATTAAATAAAGCCCTAATTTGTAGTGTTTGCTGATTTCTGAGGTGTTAAATGCTCACAATGAAAATTTAATAATCAGTTCCAGTACCAGCTAGCACCAGTACCCCTCTGGTAAAACAGAAATGTACTTACATTTGTTTTGTAATTTTAAAACTCATTATCTGAATACTCAATAAAAAGGCTTCTTTTTTCTAAATTAGATTTGTTACTCACTAAAAATTTATTTTTATTAACGAAATGGAAAGGGTTGAATTTCTTCTTACTTGCAGCTCCAAGTCCTATCAGCATTTTTTGCAGATGAGCTGGCTTCTTATTTGGTTTTAACATAGATCTATCCACCCCCTAATTGTTTTGGTGGATTATTTCTCTTACTCATCCTGAGAAGTGGTACTTTCTTATCATAGCCATTCTAAGGAGGAAACGCAGTCATAGGTAGTAATAATAGTAATAGCAGCAGTAAGCATCGACATAAGACTTTAAGATTTGCAAATAACTACATGTGTTAACTCATTTGGCCTCCATATCAATCCCATGAGGTAGGTGCTATCACTATCTCCATTTTATAGATGAGGAAGCTGAGGGAGAGAGTAAGTGGTTTGCCCAGGGTCCCACAGCTAGGGAACATCAAGACATGATCTTCACTCCAAGTCTTGTGCTCTATCCTTTCCCCACCCAGCTGCCTGGTTCCATACTTTCTACCAGGCCTCATAGAAAGGAAATGGCAGAAATGAGTTTGGAATTTAAAGCTGTCAAATCACCCATGTCCTCCTTAAGTAGGTCATCACAGATAACTAATGTTGTTACAACATTAGAATTTTTTCCTACAAGTCTGGACCGACAAGCTACTAGTCAATTAACCAATTAAGAAGCTTTTATTAAGCAGCTACTATGTGCCAGGCACTATGCTACAAAGAGAAAAATGAAAAAAAAATCCTTGCCTTCAGAGAGGTAGAGTGTACAAACATTTGGAATTTGTTTGTTTTTTGTCTTTTTTTAAAGCTCTTTTCCTCCCAATTTCGGCTCCCAAGATTTACAATGGGTCAAGGTCTCTCTAAAAAGTCCTTTTCTTGAAAATGATGACTAGCTGGGGTTAGCTAATGGCCCAACCCCAGTTATGAATCCCAGGAAATGTTCTCAGTTGAGAGCATCATTACTTAAGCATTCAAGCACTTCTTAAAAAACAATGAAACAAGAGCAACTCCCTCCATACTGTTTTATAATCCCAGAGGGCGATCCCTCTCCTTGCCGACTCTTTTCTGGAAATCGGCAGCCTGTCTCTTTGGGGGCTCGGCAGTCATGTCCCCACGTTGTCTACAGTGGCTGAGGGCTGTGAGTTCAAAAGTCAAGTTGATGGTTTATTCATTCAAGAAACATTTGCAGACAGTTCTAGGTCCGGCTCATAGCAAAGCCTTATAAAAAGGGGTCCAAACTTAAATTCCCCAGAGCAAACATTTCTTTTTTCAGCAGGGGACCTAATAATGAAGAAGATGTAGTAGTCAAACGTTAAGAGAAGGGAAGAGGACAAATACCTACTAAATTGTTTGCAAAACACTTGGCTGGTCACTGAGGGGTCTATAAAGATGAATTAGGCACTATAGGCCACCCTCAAGGGGTTTATAATCAGGTATATCTAATAGTACATGAAGGAACTAGGATTTCATTTATGTGGGGACCTGCCTGGATGGGAATTCCCAACAGGTACAGTTAGCAGCTCTTGTCTAGGGGTGCTTAGTAGATAAATTCCAGGGCAAGGGTGGGGAACCTATGGCCCCAAGACCATGTGAGGCCCTCTAGGCTCTCAAGTGCAGCCCTTTGACTGAATCAAAACTTCACAGAGCAAGTTTGGATTGGAATGACTGCAGGTTCCCCACCTCTGCCTAGGGATTGCCAGCTAGGTGGTACCAAGTGGATAGAGCACCAAAGCCTGAAGTCAGGAAGATTCATCTTTGCGTTCAAATCTGACCTCAGGCACTTTCTGTGTGACCCTGGGCAAAACATTTAACCCTATTTGCCTCAGTTTCCACATCTGTCAAATGAACTGGAGAAGGAAATTACAAACCATTCCAGTACCTTTGCCAAGAAAACCCCAAATGGGGTCATGATGAGGCGGCACAGTGTTAGCCCACAGTGAGCATTGAATAAATGCTTGTGAAGAGTTAAGGTAGGTGTGAGTATTGATAACTCTGGAAGCTGCACATTCTCTCCGAGAGCTCAGGAGAATGTTGGTCCCCCTGTGGCATGAGATCATTCCATTAATGCATTTCTTTCATGGGGATAACTTTTACAGACCCCACTCCAACAGACTATTCTGAGAAGAGCAAACTTACCAAAGGTAATTAACAACATTTTTTTTTTATCCCTGTGATGTCAGACTGTGGTCTGAAAAACAACAACAAAATTGATGTCTTTTCTTTTCCTGATAGTCTTTCTCACTGAGATTTCCCAGAAGAAGATAGATGACAATCAGCTGCTCCTTTAGCAGGCTGACCTTTAAGGAAAAGAGAAAAGGGGGACGAGGAAAATGCTGTGCCATAGCGTTTGAAGCCCAGCATTAATCATCAAAAATCTAATGTATTTACTGAGTCCAGGAACAAGCGGTGCCCGTTAACCACTCTCTTTCCTGCGCCTTGCCTCCCCTTAGGGCGTGAAGGAGCACAAATGTGGCATCTGTGGGCGGGAGTTCACCCTGCTGGCCAACATGAAGCGGCACGTGCTGATCCACACCAACATCAGGGCCTACCAGTGTCACCTGTGCTTCAAGAGCTTTGTGCAGAAGCAGACGCTCAAGGCCCATATGATCGTGCACTCGGACGTCAAGCCTTTTAAATGCAAGGTCAGCAGCTCCTGGGGAAGGCACGGGGGGAGTGGAGGCCGAGAGCAGCTCCATCTGTGGGTAGAAGCAGAAGGGTCAAGAAACTGACTCCGTAAGCAAATAGAGACCTAACTTAGCCTTGGGGTGCAAGAAGAAGAATCCAGGAATTGTGTATAGCATTGGAGACCTGGGAGGGAACTTAGAGGGCTCTGTGTCCAACCATTTTCTCATGGTACAGATGTGGAAATGAAAGACCAGAGGCATTTAAATGTCCCTCAAAATCACATACAAAATCAGTAGCAGAGCTGGGACTGTAATTCCCTTTGAGGTGTGAGTATGTAAGCTATAGAAGCCCTGGGTGACCCTGCCTGTGTGATGAGCGCAAGGTAGTCCTGAGCTCTGGTCCAGGTAAGTTTGGACACTCTGAGACACAATTTCCTCCTCTGGTAATTGAGAACAGCGCTTCAGAGGATTCTTGTGAGGAAGGGGTACTGTAAACCGCAAACTAATCAATCGGCAAGTGTTGAATGCCTACTACCTCTATGTTCAGGCACTGTGCTGGAGATAGAAAGGTCAAAAATGAAGCGTGCCTTTCCTTAAGGGATTCTGTCTCTATCTCTGCTTCTTTCTCTTTCAGATGGTTGCATGTATATAAATGGCCTGTCATGACAGAATGTAAACTCCTTAAGTTTATATGTACATATACATATATAGCATATAAACATATGTAAACACATATAAATATATATAACATAGAATGTAAACTCAAGTTTATATATGTACACATACATATATAGCATGTAACCATATGCTAGATATAAACATGCATAACATATATGATTGTGTGCTATGTACATACGTTTATAATATGAGGAAATTAGTACAAAGCATTGAAAATGTTAGCTATAATAATAATACTTATTTTTGTTTCAATGCAGAACTAGATCACAGTGACATGTGAGCTAGAGAAAAGGGTCATTGAGCTTCTTAAGTAGGATTAAGTACTGGATCTGAGTGGAAAGGAGAAGGTTATTATCTAAATGTGGGCCTGGGAAGGATGAAAGGAGGGGAGTGGAAAACTCTGGTTAGGGATTAGAAAAACTGGGTTGCCCCTGTCTTGTTTCACTGAATGGGGGGGGGGGGGTGCAAAATGACAGCTGTATTGACTCCAGCACTGATGCTTAGTGCCCTCTAACTGTTCAGTCTTGTACCTCTACACCCTACTTAGCCCTGCCTTCCAGCACGACAGCACCTGTTCCTAATTACCTTCCACTGTCCTTCCCCCACATCCACACTAATCTTCATCTGGGAGGATACCTCATTATGGATTAGTTTCTTCACTTTGCTTTTCTAAACTAGTTATGTGACTGAGACCTACCACTACCACCCCAAATATCCTCAGGGCATTTGCTTGTTTGCCACAAATTCATATCTATTTGGAACTTTAGTCTGTCTAAGGAGCTATGCAAGGGAGATGGGGGCAGGGTAATATAACTTGTATTCATGTATTCAACAAGCATTTATCAAGCTTTTGATGGGCAGAGCAAGTGGTATCCTGAAAGGTTAGATAAGGCCCAGTGCCTGCCCTCTTGGAATTTACAGTCTAGTGAAGGGGGAAGGCTCAGATAGATAACTGTAATACCCCACATAACATGGTAAGTTCAATAGAAAGCTATAAGACTTTGAGTGCTATATAAGGTCTGAAGGGGAGGGTTGTGAGAGACAGGAATTGGGGAAGGTTTCATGAAGTGATTGGGTTTTAAAGGATGGATAGGAATTCAAAAGACAGAGGGCAGGGAGGGGATTCTTGGCCTAGGAAACAGCAAAAGCATAGGTCCAGAGGAGGGAAAGAGCATGTGTGTTCAAAGGACAGAGAGAAGTCTGCCTTGGCTAGAATGTGGACCAATGGTGTCAAACTCAAATAGAAACAGATCCTTGTGGATCACATTGACTCTGAAAACTTCATATTAACATTACGTTATACTTTTATTTATTTTGTTAAACATTTCCCAGTTATATTTTAATCTGATTCTGGCCATACTAGGGAGTTTTAGGTGAGAAGCTGATGCCTCTGGTATAGACTGTGAAGAATGGAATAATATTTGACAAGTTTGGAAAGGTGCCTGATCATAGGGAGCCCATAGTGTGGTGACAGTGATAAGAATGGGGTAGGGCTGGATGCAGGAGGAGATGTTGTAAAGATGGAATTGACAGGCCTTGATGGGAGAGGGAAGAGACAAAATGACCCCAAAATTGTAGATCTGGGAGATGACCACAGATAGTGAAGTCAGAAGGAGGAACAATTTTGGGGAGGTTGTGTGTATGTGTGGGGGTTTTTTTGAGGGAGGGGTTATTAAGCTTTCTTTTAGTTTGTGTTGGAATGTCTAAATAGGTGGGTAGATCTAGAGGTTAGAGGGGGAAGTCCAGTCTGTCAGTACAAATTTGAAAGTCTTCTTCCTAGACATGGTAGCTGAGGCCATGAAAATGAGATTGCCAAGGGAGAGCATCTAAAGAGAGAAGAGAAGAATTTCAAGAAGAGAACCTTCAGGAATTCCCTCATTAAAGAGTCAGGAAGAGGGTGACAAATTGGCCCAGAAGACAAAATTGTTAGAGATCTTTGAAGTAAATGGAGAACAGAGTATTGAATAGGAAGGAGTGGTTAATTGTGTCAAAAGCTGCGGAGATGTCAAGGATGATGAAGAGGGAAAGGGGCTGTTTTATTTAGTCATTGTAGTTGTTCAGTCATTTTTCAGCCTGACTCTCCATGATGCCCTTTGGGGTTTTCTTGGGACAGATACTGGAGTGGTTTGCCATTTTCTTCTCCGGCTCATTTTGCAGATGAGGAAACTGAGGTAAACGGAATAAAGTGTCATGCCTAGGGTCACACAGCTAGTAAGAGACTTGAGGCCAGATTTGAACTCAGAAAGATGAGTCTTCCTGACTCTACACCCTGCATTCTATCCACTATGCTACTTAGCTTTAGTCATTAGGAGTTCTTATTGGTGATTTTGAGAAAAAAAGATTTTGCTAGACTGATAAGGGCAGAAACCAGTGTGCATGGTGTTGAGGAGTGAGTTGTTGTTTGTCCTTCATTCATTCATTCATTCATGAGGCCCATGACATCAGGAAGATGATGCCATGACTTGAATTTAAGTGAGGCAGGGCTGTGCAAAGTCACCAGCCTCACTTTCTCCTCCAGAGCCGTCTGGGCCCAGTGGCAAGATATAGATCAGGATGACTGGAGATGGCCCTTTGAGGAATGAGAAGTAAGGAAGTAGGGGCACTGACAGAGAAGGGGAAAATAGGATGATAACTAACTGCGGCCAAATGAAGGCTTTTATGAATTGGGGACATCTAAGTATGTTGTAGGCAGATGGCAAGTAATTGGTAAAGGAGAATGACTGTAAGCTTTGGAGGAGATAATGCACCCCAAAGACTGCTGTTTTTTTCCATTTACCCTGAGTCTTGCCATCTACTCTACAGCTGAACACTTCTATGGGCTATCTCCCCCAATTAGAGTGTGAGCCCTTGGAAAGCAAGAACTGCTCACTTTTTCTATTTATTTCCCCTATTTAGCCAGTCTTGGCACATAGTAAATGCTTCATAATTGCTTTTTCATTATTTTTTTAAGTAGGAGGGATTAGGATCAATAACACAAATAGAGGTATTAGCATTAATGAGTAGAAATTCCTAATTAGGTGATTGATGCTGCCTTCTAAGGAAACAATGAAGGGAAGGGTTGTGGGTGATCACATTGGGTAACTTGAGGCCTGGGGTAATGAGTGGATGGAGTAGAGAGAAGGGAAAGTTTTGGAACAAACTCTTCTGGGAAATGGAAAAGTGAGTCAATAAGGTTAGAGGAGAAGTATTATTAAGGAGTTCCCAGCTGAGGTTGGGTAACAGAAATTTGAAGTGATTTCAGCTCCGTTTCAAGATTTCATCCATCAGCATTCTGCCGAGTTGGTAGAGGAGCAGAGAAATTGGATGGTTGGGGTCAGGCGGGGCTGAGGGTTTGAAGGTGGGAACTGGCAGAAGGAAAGGGATTCGAGGTGATACAACAAGCATTGTTAAGTACGTACCATGTGCATAAAAATGTGCTGGCCAAGGGATGCACAGGCAAAAACATTTCCAGTCTTCAAGGAGCCTCTATTCTCCTGGAGGGTACAACATATAAACATATAAATAAGCAAATTTGAGGCGAGATGGAATACTACCATTTAAGGGGAAGACGAAAAGGTTCATGGAGGAGCATGGAAGAAGTGACCATTAGCACTCTACTAAGTCAAGCCCAGGGAATGTTTCTCTTGTTGACACACATGACCATACTGAAAAGACTCATCACAAGAGGGACTGAACAGCAAGAAATCTCTCAAAATGCTTAATCGTTCTCTTGGGGAAAAAGAATCAAAGGATGGAAGAAGCAGGATAGAGAGGATAGAGTACAGATCAGCGCATCTATAGAACTATTTACAAAATTAATAGACATTTTTTAAGGTGAACTGCTAAGGCCTAGAAAACTCTGGAAGCTTCCAGACTATTCAGCAAAACGGAACATTAACAGATAATGGGGTTATCAAAAATTACATGAGTAAATAGAACAAATTTTTCATTGTTCTGCTGAAAGGCAAGGGATTTCCCAGCGTCCTCCAGGACTGCCATGCCTAAGTGACCCAGAGCCATTCACGCATTAATACTACAACAAAATAGCAGACCTAGAAATCTAGTTGGCCCAGGTTCCTGATTCCATGGGAAGACGCAACTGAGCTGAGCACTGAAGGAAGTTAAGGGTTCCAAGAGGTGTAGATGACGAGAGAGTGCATCTCCATCGTGGAGGACGGACTATGGGAAGGTACAAAGGCAAGAGATGGAAGGCCAAGTTTGGAGAGTAGCAAATAGGCCTGTTTGACTAGAACGAAGAGCATGAGGGGAAAGGAATGCCAGGGTCAGATTGTGAAAAGCTTTAAATGTCAAGCTGAAGGGTTTATAGACTATCATAGAGGCCATTGGGGGTCACTGCACAG